GTACGAACAAAAGTAAGAGAAATTTAGGATAAGAATACGAACATGTTCTTGCATGAGGCCCATCGTGAAAACGTTGGGAATATCCCTTTGTGAAAAATTCAGTGATGGGATTTTGTCGTGCTCTATKAAGTCAGTGCTTTTGTACGGTACTGTTTCTACCAAATATCTACACTCATTTTCTACCATCCCTTTGTCTTATATCGGTGTTGTGGTCAGTTGGAGAAGTTTAATCTGAAAAATCAGACATTGCAGCTCCAGGAGAAGAAACTCCTGCAGCAACTCCAACAGCAAAAACAAGTGGGAAAACCAGATTATGAGGTAGAGAATGAAAGTTTAAATAACTGCGATGAAGTGAATTATTTGTGCTTTCAAAAGATTTTCTGATTTAGAAGTTTGTGATTTTGATTGTTATATAATAAAAACAACAGTAAATTAATTCCCCATTGTAATAAAAGGATTCTTAAATGAAAATTTCAAATAAAATGAATTGTGATTCTTGTCCAGGTTTTTTACCAGGAGTATGATGAGCCCAGAGCTGACAAAAGCCTTGATGAACTTCGACACAACAGTTTTAAAGTACAACGAGCTCTTAGCAGACACAAGGTAACTCTTAACTGAGATCGTAGACAACATCAGTATTTTATTTCAGCTCTAGTTTGTTGGATGTTTACCTGTTTGTTTTGTGAGCAGGAGAAGCTGCAAAGTGTGACACTGGACTGTACAGAACTAAGTAACCAAATTGCCAAAAAAAACRTACTGCTTGCAAAACTTGACGAGGAGATAGAGCAGGCTGAGAAGGTAACTTGCTGAAGTTATTCAAAGGCGCCTAAATCCTGATGCAGTTGATTACCTATAGAATCTAAAGTCATGTTTCAGTAAATTTCAGATCAGCAAGTTTTCACATCCTGAGTCTTTCTCTGCTTTCTCTGATGTGTTTTGTCCTCAGGATCGTTTAAAGGCGGCGAGCCTCAACCAACTCCTGCGCACGGAGCTCTCAGATCATCAGGCTCCTGATATCATGGAGTACATGTACGCCAAGGACAAACAGAAGAGGCTGCAGCAGAGCATTCRCAGCTGGGAGAGAAAGGTTGCAGTTGCTGAGGTAAGTTGATATTTTAACTTCCTCCAAATTCACCACKTACAAAAATTGTGCTTTGTTCGTTTCCTCTTTAGTAGCACAGGCGCTGAGCTGTCTGGCTGTAAAACACAAATTGCTGTTGTGCAGAATCCAAAACACCACATTTTTTTTGTTTTTTTTTAACCAGATGGCCATGAAGACGCAGATAAGAGAGCGACGCAAACAGAGAGTTGCTCTTACTCCTGCAAACAGCACAGAGTCTGGGTTTGTGTCTGGTAAAGGTCAAATTCCAATAAAGCTCCCACACATAGCAGAAAATCAAGCTTAGATAAGTGAAAACTTAGAACCACTGAAGGTTATAATCAAGATTAAAAATAAGTTGATATTGCTACTTAAAAAAAACGTTAGATATTTAGCATTTTATTGTTGTCCAAGTGTAGAAACAAAACAGTCAGATTATAGTCAGTGATTTTATCACACAAAAATCATTAAGAAGTGTAATAATGTTTAATAAATATAAAAACTAAGCTGCATCTGGTCACGTTTTATTTATTGCTGATATTTGACACAAATATTCCTTTCAGTAGCCTACAGGTACCCTCACGTGCCTGAAGTCCAACAGAACAAAACATAAAGAAATAAAAACCCAACTCCGATTCAACAAACTATTTTCTTTATTAAAAAAAAATACTCCTCTGAAATAACTCTAAATGTCGTGTTGTTACATGCCGTATTTACAGTTATGTACATCAAAAGTGCAATGTCACAATGCGTAAGCTGTTTTTAATTCTGCCATCCTAACGGTTTGGAAACTGTTACAAACTTCTTACACTGCATTTTATCAAAGACAGAGCTTCTAACATGAAGTGGTTGCAGGACAGAATGTCTGAAGTTCCGCTAAAACATTTTCAAAGGCACTTTCACAGTACATACTACAGATGTACATAACACCAAGTAGCTTAAAGCCTACAGACAGCATAACTGAGTCCTATTCATAATGTTGTTACATGGTGACAAAAGCCCACATTCGAGTGATTTCTTCCCAGAAGCACAACAAAAAAATAAAATAAAATAAAAACATCTATAAAAATAAAACAAGTTAGTAATTCAGAATGTAACTTTTGTTCTTTATACATACTTTGTCAAGTCAAACACGGTGTAAACCTGTTAGCATATCTTATTAATAGCAAACCGTTTGAAAAATATTGCAACTACATGCACCCATCTGTTACTCTGTATAGTACATAGGTTTAAAAAATATAGTTACACGGGGTAGAGTCCCATAAATAAAACCATTCTTCCCAGCTATTACATCTTGGACTCATGTTGCTGCGTTGTTCTTGTTCGATTTCTTTTGTTTTGTAATCCCACAAAAAGCAGTAAATTCACACAGAGGCTTACACCAATCTAAAAAAACGCAACGGACAGGMTCATCTGGACAAAACGGACTGAAAGGCTGTATGCAGGCTGCTTTGCGTTTTTCACAAAGATGAACACACGAGGAGGATTTTACACTAACAGTCATAAGGTCCATGGCTACCGGCAGCACTCGAACAGAAGGCTACCTTAAATTTATACACATTAGTGAATATGAAGTATCAACATCCATGCTTTAAGTTATACACTCATGTCTTTGGGTAGATAAAGCCAAGCAAGGCGTACAAAAAGCTACGGTGGTCCACATTGCAAAGTAACGTGATCGCTTTCCGCACTATGGTTTATACAGATAAAAAGGCATACATACATTATTAAGCAATGGCGTGGAAATTCAAGAATGCTCTGAAATGTTAAAAGTTCATCATGAAATAGTGGTTCTATCCAATCCTCGTCTCTTTACCGAAAAAATTACAGAGTGAAGCCAGCGAAGGCGGTGAGCTTTAGACCTCTTTCTGCGACACAACAGATGAAAAGCCTCGCCAAACAAAGCTGCAACGTACATGCTAATGGATGAACAGATGTCAGTATTAATCTAATAAACACAGTACCGTGAATAAATAAGTGGTTTCGAGTTCTTCTGGCACAAGATCAGTCCAACCTTCAAACAATGGCTGCCCAGGTTGTCACAGCACCATTTTAAAAGTGAGAATTTGAAATCTGTTATATCTCAAAAAGTCCCATCAGACCTCCGGAGTATTTCACCACACCTCCAATCGCCTTCCCAGAATCAAAACGTCCGAAAGGTTTAGCCGTTGCTGTCGCTCCAGTTTTCTTCGGGCTGCCTTTCTGGTTCATTGGTAAACCAAGGAGCTGCGTGCACAGTTCAGTTCTTTAATATCCRTAAACTAAACTAACACTAATATTAGGTACATGTTCTATTCTCAAGGAAGCAACTGTGATTTGTTGTTCAGATTTATTTAGTAAACATCAGATACAGTATATTAGTATTTTACCGCACAACTCTGCACAACATCGAGACAGAAGATTTGTCTGGCTGACAAACAAGTCTACAATKTAACCAAAACCTACAAAGGGTCTCAGATCTTATTAAAGTCCTCTTCTTTTGTGGGAACTTTACCAAACAGAGGAAGGATTTCCCAGCACCTTTGGAACAGATGTTTTGCTTTTTACAGTATCTCCTTTTTTTCGGTTTCAAATGCTACATGGTACACGACTTGTCCAAGGGGTCTTGTGCGGACCCAGTAGGAGGTTGCGGGACCTGGTTGGATCGGGGCATGACCATGGGCTTGGGCCTCAAAGCGGGGGGTTTCAGCTGCACCCCCATGCGTGGCGCCACCATGGGCTTGAAGCTGCTCATGGCCTCGCTGGAGGAGCTCGTGCTGCGGCGGATGGGGGGCTCCGTGTTGGCGGTGGGCCTCAGCATGACGCCGTGGATGGGGCTCAGGGACTCGCTGGAACTCGCCAGCGTGGCACCTCCTCCTCCTCCTCCGCCGCCGCCGGTCTGGCGCTGCTCGAGGGTGTCCAGCACCACGTCAGGGGCGTGCTTGGCCGAGCTCTGCCGCTCCAACTCGCGCAGCTCGTTCAGAGCWGTGTTCATAGTTTCCTCTATGTCCTACAGAACACACAAAAAAGTGTTATAAATGTAGGGCATGTGAAGAGAAGATATTATAAAAGTAAAGATATTATAAAAGTGATCAGTAGGAGAAAGCTTGTGAYTAAAAATCGAAAAGGAGAAACTAAATAGGAAAGTAGAGAGAGAAAGGACAAAGTAAGAGTACATTTGTTGCTATTTAATAGATAAACACAACAATTCTGAAGAAAACCAAGAATGCACCACACATGCAGAGAGTTGAAAGAAATATATCTATATATTATATATTCATGGCTATAGCAAAAAACTTATAAAGACAAGAWATTCTCATTTGAGCATGCTCCCGGAAGGCAGACAGGAATCCTAGCATTATGTGCTCTCACTGACCTCTGTCGACCCATTCTCASCCCTGACTCGTCAACATATTGATGCTTGGTCAGGTAACTGTCTGCGTCCAGTTTTGGATGCGTCGGGTACCCCCTTCGCGTCAGTCCTTAACGAGACGAGACGAGGAGGAGGAGTGCGTTGTCATATTTTTGAACAGAGTAGGAAATGCGTGACAACTAACCGTCCCAGACTATCAGTTTAACTTCTATAAGCCATATACAGCCTGTCCCTGATCTCAGTACCTAAAACTAACCATTAATCCTGATCCCTAATATTAACCACAAAACCCTAAGTGACGCAACCTGGAAAAGCAGCGGGCGGCAATGACTGACGTGAGGGGGGTACCTGACTAGGGGTGGGCAATATTGGCAAAAACCTTTTATCACGATTAATTGGGGTATTTAGCCGATAACGATTAAATTGACGATCAATCCCCTGGAGACCCTGGATACCTTTATGTCCTAGTCACATGACCAACTTTCTATTATTGTTATAGTTAATAAATAAATATATATATATATATA